GGTGTTAGTAAAATTAAGCACAGGGCTTGCAGTCTCAAGGAGATGCAGCCCATGAGGGTTTACCTCATTTTCGGCAGGGGACAAGCGAGGGACACCAGAAGCCAAGCAACTGTCTGAGATGAGTATGAAAGATGCTCTTTTGGGACCCAGCCCGGTACTGGGATGTCTGCACAAGCAGCTCTTATGCAGCTCCGCTGCCCGACTTTTCTGGGGTGTAACGTGGAAACCAAATCATCTCTCTAGCGCATGGGAGCCATTTCGTCCTGCTGCTTGGCTGCTCAGATCCCCCGTAAAGTGTCCATCTCACACGACGAGGGGGTCCGCAACAGGGAGATCCACAAAGGCTGGCTTCTGCCTTCTTCGTGCACCATCCTTTGCCTCATTCCTGGGCCAACCAGCCCTGCTGTGACCGAAACCGCGGCTAGAGCTCTCCCAGAGAGATAGAGGCTCTCAAATGGCCAACGTGGCACTGCATCAGCTGTGGATCAAAGCCATTGAGTCTCCTTACACATCCAGGTCCCCCCGACACTTTCATTGGTGACGTATCCCCAGGGGAGATGCTGCTTGAGGGGTTGTGATGAAGCATCGGAGATGAAATCGGACTCAGACCCCAGACCCAATTGTTCCAAAAAGAGGGATGTAAAGCCTCAGAGTTCATACCAGAAAGTAAAAAAAAATTGCCCGAAGTGAAATTTTTCTTCATTTCTCTACGAGCTGGGTATGGATGTGTCCTCCATAGGCTGGGGGCTGCGGGGGGTGGGGGGGGGGGGGGAGAGGCTGGAGGACAGCTCAGCCGTGGGGTTCACTCCAGATGTGTGCCTCAACCAGAACAGCTCCACACTTGGCCGAGCATGGAGACACTCATCAGCAGAGTGGCCGAGGGGGAGCACCAGGTGCCCCAAGGCAGAAACCCCCCAAGCCTTCAAGCAACCTGGTTTCCAGAGCCAACAGCAGCAGCCAGGCTCACACAGATCAGCCGTGTCGGCTCTCCTCCCGCGATGCCACCGGCTCTCTGCTGGGAAAGTCGTTCGGGCTAGGGGGACGCGGTGTGTTTGGCACCCTGTAACGGGGTGAGCACGAGGCTGACGGCATCTCCTGCCAAACAGCATGAGTGGCAGCCAACAGATACCCCGCACAGCTAGGGACACCTTGTCACGTGGCCCAGGTGACACCTCTGGCTGGACAAGGAACAGGGAGCCACATGGGGGTCTGCCAATCCCTCTCGTCTACAGTTTAAAAAGCCATCCTCTGGTTCAGTAAGCAACGCTTTCGAGAACCATCATCAAAGAGCATCAAAAGCTGCAAGGAGCTCCAAACAGTGCTGGGATCCGCTCAGTGGCTGTTCCGCACTGACAGGATCGACCGAACCAATGCTACCGTGGAGCTCGTGGCCAGCACAAAACGGAGGAAGAGTTTAAATGGCTGCTCCTTGCCAGCCCTTCCTAGGGCAAAGCCAGAAACCTGGTTTAAAAATTAAAGGGGTACCCAGCTCAGGCAGCTCCGCCCTCAAACAAGCAGGGCAGGAGCAATGCACCCGGCCTGCAGATCCAGCCGCTCGCCTTCCCCGGCGGGCACAGGGCACCGCTGCGGCCATTGTGCTGCCCATGCCGCGGCAGCCAGCTAGGCTGCAGAGCAAAAGGCAGCCGAGGTCAGGGCTGCGATTCACAGTGGGGCAGAACCCCGGTGGATGTGGGGAGATGGGATATCCTGGTGGGGATGCTCGTAGAGGCAAATGGAGTCTCCTTGCTGCCCGCAGCTGCCAGGTCCCCCCGCAAAGGTGCACAGGGGTTTCCCAATGTTAAAAACTGAGGCGCAGGAAAGGGAAGCCGCTCACTCACAGCCACGTCAGCGCTCGAGCCAGGAATAGTGCTCGCATGGCTCAACTTAAGGAGCCTTTATTGGTGCAACAAGCAGCCAAGTGCTCTCAGATGGGCACTCGGGGATGCAGTGGGAGCAGAGCTTGCCCACCCGGGACACAGCTGGTCCATGCAGCCTGACCAACCCCGGGCAGCCCACAGGCATCAAGCAGGGACCAACCAGTCCTGCTGCATTCCCCCAGTACTTAACTCCACCCCAGGAGCC